CCTGGCAATTTGCGGCGCATTGTGGTGTTCATGCTGCTGCGGCTCTGTACATTGCATCCTCTTTAGCAGCTAGGACTGGTTCACCTGTTTCACACACATGGAATTACAACATATAACGAAGGGTTACTGTAACCACCATGCTGCTTGAGGACAGGTCCAACAACCTACGCTTTGCGGGCATGATTCTTAGCAGGATTTTCGATTAGGGGTGCTTAGGCTGTTCAAGGCAATGTAGTTTTGCCGTAGGAGGTTCTGCCAAATGTGATCATGAGAAGACTACTCACGAAGGGGTGTTGGCAAAACCCCTAAGCGCCAACCCTACCAACAGGGAGTGGTCTAAGCAACTGTAACTACTTTTGTCAGAGACTGTTTGTATGTATTTGTTGCGTTTCACTCGTCTACAGACCAGACTCGAAATCTTCGGTCTTTGATCTACTGGCCTTTCCTGTCCTTCGACTTTGATCGCGGATTCAGTGCGATCTTGATTCATTTGATGTTTGGCTTGCCATTTGCTGCAGACTGATATTAAGAAAGCCAGACCTTATCAAGCATCAGAGGAAGAACACATCCAATTTCATGACACCGCAATTGCACGAGTACACTGAGTACACTCACTGATTGACTGCGGGTGCGCTGGGACTTTGCTCACAGGTGTCTGCGGTCTTTATTTCTTTGGCACTGTATGGATGGTCCCTGGTCGCCCCCAAAGCCTCTTGGCCAAAGCACAGTACGATGTGCTGAATGTAGTGGACTAGATAACCCATCCACACCTCTTTCTTAGCTGCTTCCTACCCGAGGTTCTCACCAATCGGCGCTTTTGATGCAGTGCAGAGTTCCTTTGTTTGCGTCGTTTGTACCCCCTGATTTTTGCCAACCATTTTGCATGATAGGTGAAGGATGTTCTTGTCACAGGGTGTTGGCATGTACAGTAATGGCTGTTTGTAGTGGTCGTGATCTCAAACTGTTTAAACTGGATGTTCTTGCTCCAGCGATTCCTAGAGCCCTGTGAACAAGCACGTGAGTGAACCTTTACAAAGAGCAAGAGCAGCTCAGTCTGACCGAGAAGCATTGAGGCAGCAAATAGTAATCTACTGGTAGTGGCTTGTACATGCCTAAAACTCTTCAAAACTCCTGATAGAATAGTGTATTCAACACTGATTCTAGCGGCTTCTCGCTATCGAGAATACATTTAGAAGGTCGAATTCCTACGGATGTCCATCGTAGGATTCGTGAGTGGATGATATGACAACGTTGGGTGCTTGGCCTCGCGAAGAGAAAATCGGTGCTTACAATCATGTGACCAAGCATAGGCTATCTGCTATCTATAACTGATGTCTCAATCGGCTTGATTTGTTCTTCTGATATTTGGAGGCTTTTATGCCTAGCTATGGTTATTCAAGTGAGTCATCGCAGTGTTGTTTGTAAGATGAGCTGTCAATCTGTGGAAGAGCAACTTTGGCTGCTAGCTCTTTTAACATCTTTTAACAACACATGAGAACTGTTCCTGAGGGCAAATGCAGTTTGCAGCTGCCTGGTAAGTGCCTAAGCGCTGCTGACATCATGATTTTGGGGAATGTAGAGCGGTTTGAGTGGATCCAGCCAGTTTTGATTTGACTCTTACTCAAGTCTTTGGAAATTGATCAAGGTGCATTTTGGCTGCATCAGTTGCTTTCGCGGCCAAGACACAGCCTGCTTTGAAGGTGCAATTGGTTCTGAGGGATGGGCCTTCAATTGTTTCTGTGGACTTTGCATGTGCAATCCATCGTCTCTCTTCCAATCTTGCACTGGACTGCGCAGAGCACCCTCAACATTTAAAGAGTTGATGCATCAATTTGATTGACTTGGCAAATAATGGCAAACATGTTTTGGGATAGTCAGGCATTCGGGCTGATGTTCAGAGCACGATCTCTACACAGCATGTGCCACATTGTGATTGTATTCGCTCTTATTCTTGGCCTTCGTCAGCGCTGTGTTAGCATCCAATGTCCTATTGCCGCATATTGCGCTTTCACAAGCTTTTTGCGTGTGCGAAAGGTTTGCTTGAGGGTTCGAAACAAGTGTTTTAACAAAGAAATGGAAACATTTGAAACGTTTTGAAGTTTTGCAAAAAGCAATGAGATGCAGTGAACAATGGTGAACGTCAATCGAACTCCAGGCCTTGGTGCAAGATCATGTGAAGCCCAAGGCACAGCGGCAGACCCGACAGACCCTGTGACACGCCATGCGACACACCATGCCTAAGAAAAACAACATGAATGTTCGTGTATATCGACGCCGGATTCGACTCCACGTCTTCAGCGAGTTCGGAGTTCATGGTTCATGGTATTGTCCACTGAGTTTGTCATTTGTTTTGGAGACTGCCAGGACTTGTCTGAGGAAGAGGTCGTGGAGGCCATGTTGCAGACAATATGGTCCATTGTATTTTCTGGTCATTGTGACTTGCGCCAGGGCGCTCTTGGAGGGAATGTGTCAATCGAAAGCCTTGTCATCACTGACAAGAATTCATCTGGAGCCAACACAACGGGTGTGGAATTGGTGCCTGCTGAGCGCTCTGGCACACTGGCTTCGGCCCCAGCCCCGCTAGGTCTTGATATGGCTCCGGCTCCAGCACCAGCTGCACCACCGCTGGCAGCGCCAGCTCCGGCTCCAGCTCCAGCTCCAGTCATAGCCACTACCACAGCAGAGCCTGCACAATCCATTCTTTGGTCATGGTTGCCTTCATTTCTATCGCCCAGCATCTTGGCATTTTGAGTTTCAAATAAAACAAACAAATGATGTCAAGGGTACTCGCATGGGAGAAGGGCATAGATTCATTGTTGGGTTTGGACCTGCATTATTCTACCTCAGCGCCCACGAGAACGCACCCCCGGCCCCACACATATGAAGTGCGTGATTGCCAGCCAGCCACTTTTGTGCATTTTTCAGTTTTCAGTATCATGTTGAAGAATCAAGTACCCTGAGGCACACCATGAGGCACCTATGTATTTGCGAGTAACATACTTCAGGAGGAAGAAAGTTTGGTAACAACTTCACTCCAGCATGTCATTGGCATCACTTCTTCTTCCCAATGGAATTCCGGCGGATTAGTTTCCACCCTGAACTAAATTATAATACTATAAATGTTCTTGGGGGTGCATCCGCCAGCATTCCCCTGTGTTCCCTGTAGGATTCTAAGGGGAAAGGGTTGTACGAGCAGGTTATATACTCACACGTTTGTTATATACCAACTTTTGTCCTGGCTGTGTATAACATAACATAGCAAGTATGAGCACAGATTGAGAACAGGCGAAAGAGAAAGCTGGATCCATTTGAGGTTTGACTGCGTTGATCAGTCTCGAGTCAAGTGTGATTCCGATCCAAAATATTCCAAAACGGTCCCATACCATGTCTAAGAGCATGCCACCTGGGAATGCCTGTGGCTTGTCAGTCATGCTTTTGAAGAATGTCAAGTTTGTGGAAATTATCGAGCTAGGACCCAAAATCCTTTCCAGAGAGAGGTCTACTATTGACACCTGTCCACTTGTATTTGCTCGGGTAGTGCAAAAAGTGTCTCAATTCATTGAAGTCTTAAGTGTGAATCAATTCATTGAATCCTTATGTCAAGTTTTGTTTTGTGTTTCGCACCTTCAGGTCATTTGTGGGGTTTCATCTTCGGAGCACCGCCTCGGCACACTCCAGCCACGTTGGCGCAGATCAAAGACCTCGACAAAGCGGTTTTCGCACCTGCTCCAGTGAGACCGCCCAAAGAAGATTCAACCTTTGCACCAGCTCCCCTGCTAAACTCTTCCAGCACCATCTCCACCTTCCTGCAGCAGCGCCAAGCTCAGCATGTTGCAGGTACACTTTATGGCACACCCAGGATCGGAGGCTAAAGCTCATTCTGACGGCCGAGCCGAGGTTCAAACTGTCGCGGAAGGCATGGCAATCCCAATAACGACTCGAGAGTTCTTGCTCCCTCTCACTGTAATCACTTCCGTTTCGTTGGGCACAAGATGTTTGGAGTTCTATATATTATGTAGTAGGTCCTAGATTTTGTTGGACATGTTTGGCAAACTGGTGTCGACATGTATTTTCAGCACAGGATGTCCAAAGAGTTTGAGTTTCGAATTGTCTAGACTTGCGTTTCTCCAGGATGAAGGAGAATGGAGCTGGCTGCTGTGGCTGTGGCCATTTCAATCTGATGAGCATGCCCGACAGGCAGAACACCAGCTCACGTTCTCACGCGTGTAAAACTTGAGCACTTCACAACGTTTCGAGTTTCGAGGAACCGGCGATCGAGGAGCTTCGGGTTGGTGCTCTTGCTGGAGATGTTACAGTGAAGTGTGCCTAGGTACCAATGGTAGGATTGTGCCATTTCTTTCTCCATTGTCTTCATTTTTCTCCATGTGTTTGTACAGTCAGTTGCAGTTGGTGCCAGTGCCAGCAGTAGCCCCGAAAAATGACGGCTAGCTAAGGACTCCAAATGTTACCACGTGTGCCAAGCACTTTTCTGAGCAGTGCAGCATTATGCTTTAGTGTAGTTTCCTTTGGGCACGATCATTTTCACTCTGTGTGTGTGTGTTTGCTGGTTCGCGTAAAGTCTCATGAACCAAGCTGCAAATGAGGTCATCATGTGACTGTTTTCTTTTTGTCTCCAACGTCTCCAATGACAGTTTCACAAGGCTTGAATGAAGAACTCAGCTTCAATTGGACTCTCGGCCTCGCTGAAAGTTTGTAAGACTGTAAGATCTAGCGTTTTGATGCGAATTGAAACCAGCCACCACTGTCAGATACTGTCAGCGGTTTTGCCCCAACATGAAGTTTCCTCCAGGAGGCTCACTGGAATGAACTTCTCAGTTTACGTGCTTTTGGCTCAAAGCTTACAGTACAGCCCATATTCATGTCTTGCATGAGTACTAATCGCTGTTCAACTCAGCCTTCCGAAAGACAGACTTAGAGCTTTTGCTGGTTAAGCTTGAACGAATCATTCCTCACTAAGTCACTAAGAATTAGAAGCAACAATGCATCGCGCATGGAGCGATACACGGCTGCTCAATACGCGAAGGACTTTGCCGGCTGGATGTTGATATCATTTTCAGATGATGTGCTCATGATGAGCCGTTGATTCCCTTGTGATGCCATCTTTCGCACGAAGGCCTCATCTTCATTCGGAAAAACAAGATGCCTTTAATATCATTTAATCTTGGGAGGAGGGGTACAAGATGGTACTAGAAATCTACCAAGCAACCTCTGGAACGCACACTGTTGGTTCCACAGCTCTTCTTAAGCCTCATGTTCACAACAGTGTCATCGCTTTGACAACATTGTCTTCGGGGACGATGCCTCGCCGTGGCAGCTGTTCCAAGTAGAGACAAGTCCACAAGAGCGGACGAGCGCAAACAAATGAGTTCTGGTCTGAAGCTTCGAGTGCCGCTTTTGCTACGAAAGCCAGCCGATAGGCTTGGCTGAGTCCTCGATGGGCGAACGAAGTGAGATAGGGTGTGTGGATGCAAATGACGCTGAGTAGTGCATCATTGGCATCATAAAGTGCTCAAGAGATTATTAAAGTGGTCTGCTGAGGTGAGCTGACCAGGTGCGTGAGTCCAGGTAGAGGACAGGACACTGGAGACCGAATGCAGTCAGGAACCCCTAAGCTTCAAACTGCCAAAGGGACAGTGTTCCCGACACTCTGCACTGAAGTTCCCGACATCGGCAAGCTTCGTCATGTTGATTATCAATAAGGGGCGCCCTTTTGACACTCCAAAAAGATCCAAAAGTTTGAAGTGCAACGGATAAGGGCACCCCACAAAAGCAGATGCAAAGACATGACCTCAAAGTTTCTCAATCGGTACAAAGGCTCTCTTTCGTCCCCTCCCTTCTCAGGTATGAGACTTGTGAGTCTGTGAAACATGTGAAACATGCACTGCGTAAGAGTACAGAAGCAACGAAGGAATGACCCAACTGCAAAAAAATGAAATAGGGAGGGGGTTGGGCTAGTCATCAGGTTCATGACATTCTCGTGGTTTCACAACTGCAGAGGTGACACCAGCCACTTCATTGTTCAATCTGTCATGCTACGTCTATCTCGTCTCAGTACTTATAGTTTCTGATTCTCGTGGCCACTTGTGGCCTCGGATACAACAGGGGCGGGTTCAAAGGTGAAGCGACATGAAAGGAGACAACATGGGCAGCGTCGCAACAGGATCCGCTGTCAGCTAGTCTATCAATTGTTCCAGGGAGCGTCAACATGCATCAACCCATGCACTTCCTCTCAATGTCAACTGTGTTGTTTGGCCTGGGTTCCTCCCATCTTGTGGGTTGCCCAAAACCATGATAGCCTAGCAAGGAGATTCCCAGCTTAGACAGATGTTTGGTCGACGTTCATACAGATCGCAACTATTTTAGAGGCAGCCTTGGCAGCGCATGTAAGTCGCATAGCATTGCTATAAATTGATTAAATCAGCACGAGGACAAGGTTGCAACATACCAAGTCGGTTTCTTTGTGTTTCCACTTGGCAGTTCGCAGATTGGGGCGAGACTCGGCACACTCAACGGAGAACAAGAAAACTGAAATTGGCTGTTGTGTGTAATTGGCAAGCTAAGTTGCTGTCCCCACAACCCAAGTCCCGCCTGGAAGATGTATTGAATTCAAGGGGCGCTATTGGAGTTCTTACTTCAAGTATAGGAAGAGGTGCCTGTCTGCGCTTTAGCCAGATGTGTATGGCCGCGCAATTTGGAGCATGCACGCCCGTGCCGCTGCTATGGTGCTGCCCCCAAATAGGTGTTTACGCTGGTGTATTTGCTCCTAGTGCTACAATTAGATCAGTTGTGTTGTGCACTATAGGCAGACTATAGGCCTGTTTTTGCAAAACAGGCGCTGCTTGAGCCACTGTGGCGACTTGTGGCTATCTTTGGCTCCACCCTTGCTTGGTCCGCCTTGCTTGGTCCGCCTTGCTCGAAGTTCCAGCATTCTTTGCTCAACAAGCCCCAGCAGAATAGCTTGTAATCGGTGACTGGGTGCGGCGGACGCTCTATTAGAGCATGTTGCATCTAGCATCTTAAACCCCTTGACATGCTACTGATGATTAAAATATATAAAAAAAAATTTGGTGAGGTGCCTTGCTTGTACTGAAGTTAGCGACTCTTGCAAGTGGGCGCACCCACCACAATTGCATCATTGGATTTAGTATGATTTAGTCAACTATATTTTGCAGACATGTAACAACCCCGTTGCTCGAATGAACCAGCAAAATGCAACAAGTGTTACAGAAGAAGGCCTGCAGCGCCAAAACCTATTATCGCAGCTGCCTCGGCCTGCTTTGGGTGTGATGGAAACACGAAAGGTTGCTGGTGGCGCATGCACAAACAATTGGCATGAAGATGATCGACAATGTGTCCAAGAACAGCTGCAAATGGAACAGGCTTGTGTTTCAGATGACAGATGTGAGGAGCCACGTCGGTGATCATATTGGAAATGCTTTGTGTCAATCTTACCCGCAGAGCACGACACAGTCAGGACGAAAAGTAACCATTGTACAAACTCAGAAAACGATGATTGAAACATGTTGAAATTGTCCGTTGTACCCATTTTAAGTGCAATCCATTCAGAGACAAAATCGAGGTATTCGAAGCAAAGGAAAGGGAAGATGATCCGCCATCCAAAAAAAAATAATAAACAGCTTGACTGAGGCCTGGGTACGCAGGACATGTTCCCGGCGCCAGGTTGGAGGCCTTCAGTGAGTTCAAGGAAATAAGAGGATAAAAAACAGGGTTCCAGGTTTCCTTCAATATGTTTCCTTTAAAGAGGCCTCAAAAGGCAAGCGTATGAGACTGACCGGTTGTTTTTCTCTTTTGTCCTGTCAATCCTTTGTGTGCTGTGCCCCGCTGTGTTTTCAGGGCGAGGCAATTGCAGCGACCTTTGGGCGCAGTGGACTGAGCTTTTACTACTAGTAGTAGCTTCTTGTTACTAGTAGTAAGGCCAGGAGCTCCTAGTAGCGATGCCAGGAGCCCCTAGTAGCGTCCTTGCTCCTAGTAGCGATGCCAGGTAGCGTCCTGGCTCCTAGTAGCGATGCCAAGAGCCCCTAGAAGCATCCTTGCTCCTAGGAGCTCTAGTAGCGTCCTTGCTCCTAGTAGCGATGGCAGGAGCCCACAGCAGCGTCCTTGCTCCTAGTAGCGATGCCAGGAGCCCCCCAGCAGCGTCCTTGCTCCTAGTAGCTTTGCCAGGAGCCCCTAGTAGCGTCAATTGCTCCTAGTAGCGATGCCAGGACCCCTAGTAGCGTCCTTGCTCCTAGTAGCGATGCCAGGAGCCCCTAGTAGCGTCATTGCTCCTAGTAGCGATGCCAGGAGCCCTAGCAGCGTCCTTGCTCCTAGTAGCTTTGCCAGGAGCCCCTAGTAGCGTCCTTGCTCCTAGTAGCGGTGCCAGGAGCCCCTAGTAGCGTCCTTGCTCCTAGTAGCGATGCCACGAGCCCCTAGTAGCTTCCTTGCTCCTAGTAGCGATGCCAGGAGCCTCTAGTAGCGTCCTTGCTCCTAGTAGCGATGCCAGGAGCCCCTAGTAGCGTCCTTGCTCCTAGTAGCGATGCCAGGAGCCCCTAGTAGCGCCCTTGCTCCTAGTAGTACGGCCAGGAGGGAGCCCCTAGTAGCGTCAATTGCTCCTAGTAGCGATGCCAGGAGCCCCTAGTAGCGTCCTTGCTCCTAGTAGTACGGCCAGGAGCACCTACTGGCGTCCTTGCTCCTAGTAGTGATGCCAGGAGCCCCTAGTAGCGTCCTTGCTCCTAGTAGCGATGCCAGGAGCCCCTAGTAGCGTCCTTGCTCCTAGTAGCGATGCCAGGAGCCCCTAGTAGCGCCCTTGCTCCTAGTAGTACGGCCAGGAGCCCCTGGTAGCTTCCCTACTCCTAGTAGCGATGCCAGGAGCCCCTAGTAGCGTCAATTGCTCCTAGTAGCGATGCCAGGAGCCCCTAGTAGCGTCCTTGCTCCTAGTAGCGATGCCACGAGCTCCTAGTAGCGTCCTTGCTCCTAGTAGCGATGGCAGGAGCTCCTAGTAGCGTCCTTGCTTCTAGTAGCGATGCCAGGAGCCCCTAGTAGCGTCCTTGCTCCTAGTAGCGATGCCAGGAGCCCCTACAAGCGTCCTTGCTCCTAGTAGTCGTGCTAGGAGCCCTAGTGCGTCCTTGCTCCTAGTAGCGATGCCAGGAGCCCCTAGTAGCGTCCTTGCTCCTAGTAGCGATGCCAGGAGCCCCTAGTAGCGTCCTTGTTCCTAGTATATAAGTCCGCTTGAGAAACAAAAAAGCACCGATATATGATACAGGTGATGTGTGTGTGTGTGTTTGTGTCATCCTTCCATTGTACATGCAGAAGCACAACCACCAACCTGAACATCACATTAAGAAGAAGTCATCTCGGAAACCTCAAGTGAACCACTGACCAGCAAAGGCCTATAGGCTGATATGACAGCATTGCAAAACACGGAATAGAGTTGCAAAAACCCAGCAAAACCTCAATGATAAAAACATGAAGCCTTGTGTCAAGTCAAACTGACAAAGCACTTGAAGTTGCCAGCCTTGCCACCACCTACTGCGTGTGTATGCTGTTGCCGCCTTTGCTACCTACTGCCCACCCGCCCGGCTGCCACAGGATGTTAAGTCAAACAATACTCATTTCCACCTAGCATACCACCCCGGCAACGACCACTCACAGCAATGAACAATCATGGGATAAACAGAATAGCCATATTAATACATATATAGATGGTTCGTCCAATGACCCCAAGTGTATATATAATCGATTGTGTTGACAGCCGCGACAGGTACCTTACTTCGGTTGCTGGTTCTGCACTAGTGGCTGCAAGTAGAACGGGACCATGTCTTAAAAGAAAAGAGAAATGAAAAAAGCCCTTAAATGGGGTTTGCGGCCTCACCTTCTGTCTTTCTCCTCTCCTCTTTTAGACATAGTTCAGTTCTACTTGCATAGAACTGTACCCACACTGCACGACTTACCAGTCATCCTTGCTGGTGCCCACCATCATTGCAGATGTCAAGTTCTGCCTTTAGATTCAGATTCCATTATTGTATGAAATATGTTTGCTTACTGCTTGATGTTTGGGGTCATGCTTCTTGTAAAGTGTTCGCTGCCACACCAGTAGCGACACCGCTACGTTGGCCTGACAAATTGTGCTGATACTGCCGGTTCTGTGCCCCGACTATTTGTGAGACCACATATGCAAATGGTATTGAAGTTGTATTGCCACGGCCAAGAAACAGACCCACCCTGGCCCTTTATTTGTTTGTTTTTTGCTCAGGCTCCTTGCGAATTGCACAAGGTGTACGCAGCCAAAAAACATGCGATGTTCAGGCGCATTGCCGTGAGTTCTGCTGAACAAGGGCCGACATGCTGACCTTTGAATGACTATAGGCGATGCGTCTTCAGTGTGAGGAAAAGGATAGACAGCTCAGGAGCTTGGAGAGTAAGGGGAGTAGAGAGGCAAGACGCAGACTTTTGATGACTCTTTCATTTCTCCAGGAGCATGATCCCACCAACACTGGCACCTTTGTGCGCTGAGAAACATTCAGCCTTCAAGACATCACCAGCACTGATTCTGACGAGGTACGACAAAAGGGGAATTGGATACCAACCTGCAGGGGACACCAGGCATTCAAGGATTCCAGAATCCAATGAGGACAGTTCAAAAGCAGAGTGCATTTGTGAGAGATGCTTAGACATACAAAATATAAGAATCGTCACTTCATGCTACACACAGCGGACCAGCCAGAATAGGCAGGCCGGCGGCCAGCACTTCGCTGTTATTTACAACACTCCCAAGATCAGTCAGTGGTATGCTTCCTTTTGCGGACCCCAGAACTAATGTGAATTTGCAGGAGAAGCGGCACTACCATTCAAGCCTTGGTTTAACGTAAATCTGGCGCGTTTGCTTATCAAATTGCTGTATCTAGTTCATCCCGAAATAGTACGCATGTGTCTTTAAACCAGCAACAAGTGTTTGCAGTACTGCATTCATTGTGTCAGAAATGTGTTTAGCTTGGACCATGTGATCCATAATGTGGCACGATCGCAAATTGTGATTCGAAGGTCGCTGGCCTATGAGAATCTCGGGGGTGCTGGGTGGGCAAGGCATGTTTCTTTGTTTCTCACAAGATTATATAAATATTTCAGACATTTGCATATTCCATGCGCATCTCGACATTGGCAGGAAACTGAAGGGTCATGGTGCCGCCTCGCGTGGGATTCCTGGCTACCAGGGCTTCATTCCAGGGAAGGCACGCGAATTGCAGGAATATCAACCTGCCAGACTGAGCTGCTAAACCACTGTGACCTGTGCGCAAGGTATCTGAGAATGCGTTTGCTGAAACCTGGTCAAAAACACAGGACTGGGAAGGAGCTCTCCATGTCACGGAGGGGAGGGAAGACAGCGTGCGAGGAGAAGTCTTTGAGTTCCCACATCGCTGCGCGAGCTGCTGCACCAAAGCAGTGGACCTTGATGGCTGAGGCGCCGATTCGGTCCGTTTGTTGGTTGTGTTTGATCATTTTTAGATATATGTTTAGGCTACGTTTCAAGCCGCCCTTGCCTGATTTCCCAAATTTGGCTGAGATTCATCTGAGGGACGAACATCAGTTGCACCAGTACAATCTGATACGATGGCAGAGGCCGACAGGGTGTGTTGGCATCACAACAGCATGAATGCAAAATCAGGCACAAGCAATCATGTCTTGGCAAACCTGTTGCTGCGCATTGTTGGGCCATTGCTACGGAGTCGGGCCGCCGAAAACACCGAAGCTCAATTTACCTTGCTGATATTTGGTCACACGAATATAAACTGAGCCAAGGTGCGTTGCAGGAACAAAAGATTCGTGTATGGAAGCCTGAACAGATGCTGTAGCATGCTGTAGCGTGAGGGCTGTGGCTCGCTCACGCCTTTATTACAAAGGAGCACACACACTGTTCACATTTCAATGCGCTTGGGACTAGTTAGGCACTCCTCAAGACAGCGTTATTAATTCAGTTGTTTGAATCAATTTATGGTGCTGTATGCTGGTGTATATTCTTCCATGGACACCTTTTCTTGAAGCTGCTCTCAGATGGCTATTTGGAATCCATCGTACCAAGATCATGCTCGCGGATGGCCCAGTGCTCAAGATCAGCTAGCACAGGTTGTATAAGAGCTTGCACATATGATTGACAGTTTGTTGTTGAACCTCACGGATCGTAGGGTTTACAGCCAGGTCTGACTGCAAAGTCACAGGGAAACACGTGTTGCCCGCCGGGACAAATGCACCTTTGGGCCAGCAGGAGGCTGCAGCGGCAAACAACTGTTTTTCCTGCTCAATGCTCAATCGTACGTATTATATCTTAAAAATAGACTCATAGACATCAAGAAAGCAATGAAAAAAGGAGGGTCCAACAGAGTCCAACTGAAAATCGAACCGTTTCAACGGGAAGGGTTCTTCAAGAGCTCTCCTCCCTGGTCCTTCTCCTTGGCATTTAGTAGCTTCCTTGCTACTGCTAGCTACTTCATCCACCTTTTCTTGCTTCTTACCCCAGGTCGGCCATTTTTTCAAAGGAAAACATTCTGTGGACCTTCTTACTCAAAACAATGGTCACTTCCGATCGCCTTACCACCTCGGTTTCAGGTCTTGGCATAAAAGGGACAACCAGCTCTGGAGAGTTAGCCGAAAACAAAAGGAAATCCAAGAGCCTAGCATGTGCGAAGAAGCTTCTTCTAACCTTCATTTATGTTTACTGCTGTCCATCATGTCCATGTTAATGATGTTAATGTTGCATTTATGAGCAAATCAATTGACCGAAACTTGAAGAACAATTGGGTTCCATTCAATCATTGAAAGGCCTTCAATCTGGAGATGCCAGACCTGAATCATGTCCTTCACCATGGAAAAGCTCCAATCCTTGGCTACAAGGACCGGGAATACAACTGTTATCATACCTGGCATGGTTGCTTTGTTTGCTTTCCAGCAGTTCTTATTCAGATGTGCTGCAGACATGCCAGGGCTACATTCCAGGGAAAGTCAGTGAGAATGTCATTGGCGAGAGACAATGCAAAACCATTGCAATCGCAGGCACTGCACGGGTGTTGAGTTCCTTCTCCATCCCACAGGTCTTGAGATAAAGTGTCACATAATATGGCTAGTGCTTCCATGGGGAGACAGCCATGACCAAAACCCATGACAAACGTTCTGGATAACACAATGTACACTTGCCGAGCCAGGCATCCACATTACAGTGATCAAAAGGATGGCACCCGCCCTTAAGGCCTTTTTTTCAACAGTGAGGCAAAAAAGACCAGAAATAGGACCGTGTGTTGTTTATTCTTGTTGCCCATGGGGCCCCCTGGCTCCTTCCTTAATTAAGTAGACGCCTACTTAAGTAAGGAGATGTTCGTTCAGGGCGACTAGTTAGCTTCTAGTAACTGGAGGCAAGATAGCTCGGGCCAATGATTTGGTTCCTAGATTTTTAGGGAAACTTAACATGGATTCACGAGAATAGAATTGTGAAACACAAGTGAGAATAGAGGGAGACCATGACATTGAGATGAGACCTTGGGCTAGAAACGCTTACTTCGGTACCTTGTACATCGTCAAGGCTTATAACATGTACTGTACAAGTCGTACGGAAGTGATAAAAATTGTGAATTGTTCTAATTTTATAATAGCTTCTTGTTGTTACTAATTTTCACAAATTTTTGTAATAATTATTATAATAGCTCCTTGTTACTAGTAGTAAGGCATTTGTTACTAGAAGCGATGCACTTGTTCCTAGTAGCTTCTTGTTGCCAAGTTGGATCTGGAACCAAGTTGTGTATGTGTGTAAACACCCAGGGAACGAGGCTCAACCAGGGGACATGCAGCCATCACAGGGTTTGATCAACCTTCCTAACCATGATACACACCAGAGTCCTTGAGGCTGCTTCGAGGTATGGTCAGGTTGGACTGCAGTAAAAGTCCATCGACACATTTGTGCTTTGTTGTTGTTTGTCAGACATTAGTTGGAGACTAGTAACAATAAGCTACTAGGAACAAGTGCATCGCGTCTAGTAACAAGTGCCTTACTACTAGTAACAAGAAGCTATTAGTAACAAATAGCTATTAATTAGTAACAAATAGCTATTAGTGCCATCAAATTACATGTGGCACTTCTTTTGTTTCTTCGCTCGTCTTCCTTTTAACTGCCCTTTCTGATCCGTGT